AATATTTTAATACTATATTTTTATTGTGTCAATTGTTTAATCTTTTTAATTATAGTTTTGAGTATTTTATAAAATTCTCATTGATTTGCTAAAAAATTGCGAATTTTTCTTAATTTATTTGTTTTAATTTACTTATTAGTAACTATGTTTTTATGTGATAATAAAAAAGTTTTTTTTCATATTTTTGTTGAAAATTTTACAAGATTTTTATACATTTTTAATTTTGTTTTGTTTTTTATTTGGCTAAAAAGATATATTCGATTTAATAAATTATGTATTAATTAATATTGTATTAGTCTACTTAAATACTAGTATTTTTGTTTTATTTTCAAATAATTATTTAAATTTGTTTTTAACAAAAATTACTTTTTATTTAATTTTTAAAAATATTAATTTAATTTTTAAAAAATAGTCCGTTTTACGATATTTGATTTTTATTAACACGTTTTAAGATTTTATTTATTTATTTTTCTTTTTCAATTATTAATTTTTTTATTCTATTTATTGTTTTTTTATGATTTCCTAATTTTTGTTTTAAATATGCTTGAAAAAAAATATAATTTCATTTTCAATTTTTAAAACTACGTCTTCCTAACGACATTTTATTTTTATTGGAATTTTCAAAATTGTATTTATTTATTATACCCTACAACACTATGTGTTGGGGGTATTATAAGTTTGATTGGGCCAAAAATTATGTAACACCACGAAATATTGGTTTCCCACATAGGAAAGTATATATGGATCTTCCTATCTCGCCGAGCTGAGTCGATCTAGCTATGTATGTCCGTCCGTCCGTCTGTCCGTCTGTCCATGTTAATTTGTAATCACTCTACAGGTCGCAATTATGGCCCGATCTTCACGAAATTTAAAATGTAGGTGGGGTTAATGTCAGAATAGAACCCTATTTCTTTTGGAGATGATCGCCAAATGTTTAGGGGTTGAAATGGACCAAATACTGAAAAAATGTCGGATTTTGCAGTAGCTATACAGGTCGCAATTATAGACCAATCGACGCGGAATTTCGCATGTAGCTAGAGTTTAGGGCGGGGAAGAAGCCTACCAATTTGGGTGGTCATCGGATTATATTTAGCGGGTAAAATAGACCATATCTTTTGTATTGAAAAAATTCGAAATTTTTCATTAAACCGCGAATATTTTAAATCCCGGCGAAATCACAAAGCCATAACAGGGTTACTTCTGATTTTTACATTGATGTTAACATCCAACAAATCGGATATATAGCAAAATATGTGCGACATATATGTCTATCAAAGAAGATATGCTTGAAAGATCTCATATATGTCGAGAACGGCTGAACTGATTTCGACAGTTCTCATTAATTCAGAATGGCCTCTTGGCAGGAAAGAAAAAACGTCTGAAAAAATCGCATAAAAATATCTCTCTAAAGATGAAAATATTGATTTTGTAAAATATTCTCATATTTTTTCAATTTTGTTATATTTTTGGCATATTTTAATTTTGAATTAAACATTTGGTAATATTTCTACAGCTAACAAAACTAAGTAGTTAGGATATCAGGATATCATATACAGATCGCATTTATGACCCGATCCTTACGAAATTTTGCATGGGGATAAGATGAGGGTCAGAACAGAAGCCTACTCTTTTTGGAGATGATCCCCATATATTTAGGGGTTGAAATGGACCGAAAAACTGCAAAATTGTAGGCAGGTCGTAATTATCGCCCGATCATCACGCACATTTGAAAGGGGGTTACCGGACATTGCAAAAGTCAAGCAGTTTTGGATGACCATCCAAAAATATTCAATGTGTGAGATAGTTTGCCAACTTTTGTAGACAAAATACGAAAATGTCCATTCCAGTGACTTTTTGGAGAATTCACAAATACAGGAAAGACGCACTTCTGACTATTTCGTTAACGAATATAGTCAAATGTCTGTATCTCATATAGATGCGTTTCAGTCAAAAACCAATAATAAATGTTAATATTTTGCCACTTCTAAGAAATTATAGGTCTTTGGGAAATATTGGTTCCAGATCTAGGAAGACCATTTAAGTGCAACATCTACCAATAAATTGGAAATGAGCAAATTAGTTTAAGTTGCTATTATCCGAAAATTAGAGAACGAAACTTGATGATTTTCTTTTATTATTTGTCACAATATCTTGTGGAATTCTTTCGAGTATCTCGCCTATATAAACTGTATCGTTTATTATAGTGTTGTAGGGTATTCAACGGTCGGCCCCGCTCGACTGTAGCCTTTGCTTACTTGTTTTTTTGTTAATTTCTGATTCATTTCGAAATATTCATTTCAATATTAACTAAATTAATTGTTTTATTTATATTAGTATTTATAAATTTAGTTATTTATTTAACTATTTTTATTTTATATTATTTTACTTATTTTGTAATTTATTTTTCAAAAATTCTCCAATTTGCTTTAATAAATGTAACTTTTTTATTTACTTTTAAAAGAACAAACCCTTTTTATTTTTATTTTCATTCCATAAACATTTTTTTTCATTTATTTTTTATTCAATATTTTTTTTGTCAATCTATTAATTTATTAATTAATTTAGAATTTTAATTAACACATACATTTATTTATGAATTTATTATTAATTTTTTATTTACTTTCCAATTGTGATTTGAACTAAAACGTCACTTTATTTGTTTTCTAAAAATATATATTTTTTATTTATTACTTTCTATTAGTCGAAAAATATGTATTTTGAAAAAATATTATTTATTTATATTTTGTAATTCATTTTTCAAATATGTTCCAATTTTAAGAAAAATAGCCTTTTTTGATTTAAAAAAAAAACACGTCCTTATATATTTTTTTATTTATTAAACATTTTTTCGTTGTTATATGTTTTTGTTTTCGTTTACTTATTATATATTCATTAATTTTTTGTCAATTTATCAATTTGAATTATATTAATACATACAATTATTTCTAAACTTATTATTCATTTTTTATTATTCATTGATTTATTTAATTATATTCCAATTATGATTTTAGTTTGTTTGAATTGTTTTGTTTTCTGAATTATTATTTATTTATTTTTTTTTTTGTAATTTGTTTTTTATATTTTTTCCAATTTGCTTATAGAAAAATATAATTTTTTTGATTTATATATTTTTATTTATTAAACAATTTTTGTGTTTATTTATTTTTTATTTACTAATTTTTGGTCAGTTTATTAATCTATAATTATAATTAATACACACAATTATTTATAAACTTATTATTCATTTTTTATTTATTCATTGGTTTATTTATATTCCAATTATGATTTTAGTTTGTTTGAATAAAAACGTCATTTTATTTGATTTTTAAATTTTTTTTTCTAAAAAAAAATTTTTTTGTATTTATTTTTTATTTAGTCTAAAAAATATATTTCAATTTTTACACATAAAAATAATATTTTTATTTGATCTTTAAAAGTTTTACCTTCGGCAATATTTTTTTTTGTTGATACTTAAAAAATTTTTGGTTTTTTTAAATTTTTTTACAGTCTTTAACGACTTTATTTATTGTCTTTAATGCTTATTTGGTTTTGTTTTAAACGTTAAATTTTGTGGCTGATTCTGTGATAAATTTTAATTTGTTTTTAGATGTGTTTTTTTTAACAATTTTTATAAAAAATAATTGAAAATTGCTTCAACTTTAAAATAAATATATATTACACGTAATTTAAAAAATATTTTCAAATAATTGCATTTTTGGGTCAATTGTTAATTGTCTTAAATTTGATTATATATCAAATTTTATTAAAAAATACTGTAAAATATTTTTTTCCAAATTTGTAATTTTTAATTTTTTATGTAATTTATTTTTATAAAAAATTATTGAAAATTGCTTCAACTTTAAAATAAATATATTTTACACATAATTTAAAAAATATTTTAAAATAATTGCATTTTTGGTTCAATTGTTAATTGTCTTTAATTTGTTAATATATAAAATTTTATTAAAAAATATTTTTTTCCAAATTTGTAATTTTTAATTTTTTATGTAATTTTTGTTAATTTCTCTTTCGAGACGAAAATTAACATAATTTTTATTCACTATTTAATTTAAGTTAATTTTGTTAATGAGTTTGTACATTTTTAGCATTATTTTTCTTTTTTTGATTTCTTGTGCTTTTTTTTTTATTTTCAATTCTTTCACTAAATATTATTTTATTATTTATAATAATTTTTTTTTTTACCTCCTTGACAGTTTTTTATATAGTTGTTTTTAACACTTTCAATTTTTTTTATTAAATGTTTCTATATTTTCTATCTCAATTCCTTTAATATTTTCTACTCCTTTTAAACACTTTTGAAAATTTCACAACTTTTCTTTTGTTTAGTTATTTTATTCGCAAAATAACGATCTTTAACTCTGGCCAACAAAAAAGCGACTGAAATTTCAAACCGATTTTGAAAATCTTTTAAAAAACTACTAAAATTCAATGACTCTGCCTGTGTTCGCAGTGGCAACATGAAGTTGAAAAGTGGTGCCGTTGAATGCTCAGTTAACTACGAATGGAATTCGCGATTTTGCGAAGCGAACAATGCCTGACTGCTACGCCGACAGGTATGTAAACGTTGTCTAGTCTAGACGAATGCAGCAAAACATTGACGATCTACACGACATGGTGGCGAGCGTACACATCGGCGTAGAAAAATACTTCGGACGGAACGTCGACGTTTTGGTACATTTGAAACGTTATCGGAAGGCCGTAGCAGTCATAGATTGCGCTGTGCTTGGTTCTTGGTTGGAAGTTTTTTTTTTGTGATTCTTTTGTATTCCGTCTAGGTTATTTTATAAAGATTACTTTTTTTCATTTTTTTCAAATATTTTTGTTTTGTTTTTTTTTTTGCAAAAAAATGAAAAAAAAAACTCTAAAACTAATGAATTAATAGAATAATTGCTTCAATATTTTTTGCACACTTTAAACTTATCTTTTATTCAAAACCCCAAGAATGAAAACAAAATTTAAAATCTTTCAAAACAAATTACCTCGACAATAGGAAAATTTTCGCAAAGGAAAAATCCACCCAAAAAATCTCACACTTTTTAATCTGCGGCGATATACACAACGCTAATGGATGGGTGGCTGAATAGCTGCTGTGATGAATTTATGCAGATTATTTTCTTTTGATCTTTTGTTAGTTCAGAGCAGACAGCCTGTCTTTTGTCACTTAAAACGTGAGCTGAACTTGTTTATTGTCGACTGTTGTTGTAGTAGTTGTTGTTGATATGGTCTTTGACACCCGAGTTTTGTCTGCTATAGCTCCGCTAAAGATGTTTCTATTGTTACCGGTATTTTATGAATGACAATGTCAATGCTTATTTAAGCATCTTTATTTGAAGCTAAGCTTGTATAAGCTAGTTGGTTGGTGGCGGCAGGCTGCTACAGCGCATAAGCGTTGCTGCATTCTATTCTGTTTTGAAGATGTATCTCAAATAATTAGTTGGGGTATTTAGTGGATTTAGTTACAGAATGTAATTCCGAAACCTTATTACAGAGTCCAAAGGTCAGTGGAAAAATTACATGAAAGTTCTGGATATTTTATAGATTATTTAAAAATATTTAAATATTTGGTTTTAGAAAATGTTCTTTGAAGGAGTGGACTGTTTTAGTCAATCCTAGAAATTGATCGAAATTTGAAAAAAAAAAATTAAAAGTGTGCAAAATAATAAAAAAAAATAGATTTAAAAATTGTAAATGGGGGAGTTACCAAATAAAGTGGAACAAAGAATCCAATTTTGAACACTTTCATAAAAATTTCATAAAAAGTATAAAAGACATTTCAGATTTTTTCAAATGTTTATTATCAGTAAGAGATCAGAAGAAGATGACGAACGGATTAGCCCACCTTTGAACCTCAGGAAGTCCATCTTTGAACTTGTTATGAAAAATAACGATTTTAAAAATAATTAGGCTTTACTTCTGTAAATCTACGAAAATCTACCAGAGGATATGACATACAAAGAAAGATTGTTCTTTAAAAAATTGTGAAAAATTCCACGTTTTTCTCCTGTCAAAGTTCTTTTCAAAAAAAAAAATTAACGCACGGTTTTTTGTATGAAGTCCTTGAAAGATATCCAAGATTTTCGAAGATCTAAAATATTTTTCTTTAAAAAATCCACGACTAGCTAAACATATATTTTTTAAGTCCACGGTTTTTGTCTGGAACGTCATTAAAAGAAATATTTTTATACGGAGGGTATATATCATTTGATACAGCCAAAACGGGCCTCATCGAAATAACGGTTTTAGACCCTAGGTCTCTGTGGACCAAATCCGTTTGAGAACATTTGTAGTCGATCTAGCGATGTCCGTCCGTACGCCCGTCTTTCTGTCTGGTGCGCACGATAACTCTCGAAGGGGGTATCATTATAATATTTTTGACAAACTTACATCGGCAACATCGGACCAGTCCTTCTGGTACTTCCCTCACAAAAGATGGAAATTTTCAAAAAATATATATTTTGTGCACAGAAAGAGAAACGATAATCCGATTTTGCTCCAACTTTTCAAATTCGAATATTTGTGTCAGGGTTAGGTAAGGTACGAAAATGCACAGTATCGGTCCACTCCATCAGGTACCTCCCCCACAAAGGGTCAAAATTTTGAATAATTTTAACTCTTATAAAATGTGATTTAAGAATCCGATTCCGAATCAACTCCATTCAGACTTGGCACATCTCAATATTTCTATCAGCAAATGGTCTGTTATAATGATGCTAGAGATCGGACTATTTTTTCTGGTATCTCCCCGACAAAGGGTCAATGTTTTGAATAACCAAACCGATCCTAACAGCCGAAATAAGTATCCGGCTCTCTTTACATTTCACACATTCCATTATTTCTACTAACACAAGATCTGCTGTTAGGATGGGATGGGATCGGTCCACTCTTTCTGATACCTCCCCCATAGGGTCAAAATTTGAAATACATATAAAGCTCATAAAACGCGAAATTAACATCCGATTCAAACTTTGTACACTTCTATATTTCTGTCAACACAAGATATGTTATAAAGATGGTAGAGGTCGGATTATTTCTTCTGATAACTCCCCACAAAATTTCAAAATCAAAATTTTGAATGACGAAAACGAATTTTAAATCCAAAATAAACATCAGGTTCTCTTAATATTTCGAACATCCAATTATTTCTACTAACCCAAGATCTTCTGCGAAGATGGGATATATCGGTCCACTCCTTCTGGTACCTCACCCACAAAGGGTCACAATCTGCAATACTTGTATCTGTCATAACTTGCGAAACAAGTCATCAATTATCACATATCTTCTATATATATAAAAGAAAGTTGTGTTAGTTACTACGCTTATAACTTAAGAACCGCTGGACTGATTTTAACGATTCAAACAAATTCGGAATTTTCTCCTCTCCGAAAAGGATAATATCCAAAAAAATCGCGTAAAAATGTGATATTTTAACATTTTCATTTTGACTTTTGAAATGTACAATAGTAATGTTTTATTTTGCATGATTTTTTTCCATTTTGACTTACTTTTTTCTAATGTACATTTGTAGTGTTTTTTATATTTTATTTTTGAATTCGAATATCATAATATCAATTTATTTAATTGACTTGATTTCTTGAGAACTGAAATTGATGACGGGTTACATGGAAGTGTAGTACCGAATTATGTGGTGGCGAAACGGAATAGATGATGTCGAAATAAATTAATGGAATCGAATTTTAAAATAGAAGTACATTCTATTGACAAACTATATAAGGATCTTTAAACATTTGCTGTAAAAAAATCAGCGAACAAGTTGAAGATTTTTTCAATGTGTTATTCTTCTTTTGTCAATTTTTTTTTCAATTTGTATTATCTAATTGAATTCAAAATAAACAAAATAAAGAATAATTTTTCACTATATACAAATTTTCACCAAAAAATTAAATAAGTAGGAAATACGATGTCAACTGACATCTACCTTTCAACTCCAGGGCCGACATCGTGGTTCAGCTGGAAGATGCGAACACATTTGAACAAAAAAAATTGCCGAAAAAGCCTAATGGGGATCATTTCAAAGCGTGGAACTACTTCTTTCCTGTCACAATAATCCGTCCAATGTACAATCAGAAAAATACCAAATATAAATGGTGGAAAATAGTAGAGCGAATGGGACTTTTAGTAAGATAAAGATTTCTATCCTTCCAGAAATTCTTCCCAAACATTCAAGATAGGTCATGATATCGATCATAACTCACGGATAAGGGACAACCCGATTTCATATTTATATAACCATCGTATGATTTAAGCTATTTTTGGTGTCTTGGTCACTTTTTTAATATTTTAGCCATTATTTGGCATTTTTGTTTCTAAGGAGGCAGAGAACCTCTTCGCATAAAGTTTGAAATTTTCAGAGTAGGGCCCATTTTGGTCTTGACCACATTCATTAATTGACTTGGCTAAAGGTTGTATTTATGCTACTCTGGGGTAGGGAACCATCATACAGATAATTGCCACATAGGAATTTATTTAAGTAAAGTCCCCACATTGGCGTATTCCCAAGTCCACTTTCACATCTAATTGGTGGTCAGAAAAAAAATGTTGTTTTCTATTGAATTTGTAACCCCCAAGAGAATATTGGTTGGGCCACGTTTTGGTATAACCCTTATATAAATGTATCCCTGACCTGACAGCTGTGACCGTGGTCTTGGCCACGTATTTAGGTTACTTTGTGAGTAGAGAACCATCTTACAGAAAAATGTCAACATACGTAAATATTTTGGTACAGTCACCATATAGTCCCCAGGCCCGCCGATCTATAGTGATGTTTACCGATTGGCGGATAACAACGCGGGTATTGTTTAATCGTTATTGAATTTTACCATGAACAAGAACAAAGACTTTTTGGGGACTCTAATGCGCAATTTGAGGTGCTATGGTAATGGGTGTAAAAGCGTAATTAACTTTGACTATTTAGAAATTATTTTGCCCTCCTTCCATAGTTATTTATTTCTATTTAGTCGAATCAATATTTATAATAAAATTTGTTCACCTTTATGAGATAGATTTGTGAAATATTATGCTATGCAAAATTTGCATTAAAGACTAAAACTACGGGCCGGCAACGCGGACCGGGCCAGCTAGTTTCATATAAAGTGAAGGAAGTAGTCGATTTAATCCAAACCTGGCACGTCGCAATATTTATATCATATTTATTTGGGCCCAATACGAAATGAACAATGTTGGTCCATTCCTTCGAACCTACTCCATAAAGGGTCAACAATTTAAATAACCATAACAGAAGTCAAAATATATTTAAATTATCGAACATTGGCTGAGGGTACACATCCATCGGCTATTCGACTTATACTTTTTAACTTGTTTGAGATACAAATTTGTGAACATTTTTCAGCACTACTTGTGTCGACCTCTCTTTATCGCAAAACATAAATAATAATTTTAAGTTTCAACCTAAAAAATATGAAAAACATCGATGTTCACACAGAAGAATGGTGATCATATTTTTAATTGCCTCCTCTAATACTTTATTTAGTTCTTTGAATTTTCCATATTTTCATTGGAAATTATCAGGCACTGTGTAGATTTACAATTTATTACTTGCATTCAAAAATCCTAAATCAAAATTAAAACCAAAAAAAAAAAATAAAACACATTCATTGCAAATTTCATTAAAACTAACAGCAACACCAGATCTAATTTCCTCCTGACGCCACTTGGCATTCTCGTTTTTTTTTTTTTTTTGTATAAACAGATTTAAAAAAGAAAACAACAATAAACAGTTTAAAAAATATTTTTTCTAAAATGTCCAACTTTGTGATATGCCGCACTACTTGCCAGCCCGCGGTCATAAATTAATTTTAATTGTCATCGAATTAGTTTTTTATGAATTAAAATAGCGAGAATTTAATCTAATCGAGGCAAAGGAATACAAAGGTCTCAAGAAGTCGTCGTCTCGCTTTCTTAAACGTCTGAGAATATTTAAAGACACTGCTCTGATTCGTGGATGGAAAAAAAGATGCTATAATTAAAAAATATGATGCTGATGGCAGACTGAGGCCAATGATAAAGCTTGGTTCCATTTTATTTTAGATTTTTGCGAACTTAAACATTTTGCAAAAAGAAGTAACCAAATTAAAGCAACAGTAGAAAAATATTGCCAAAGAGAATTTGAAAACTGAAACTTTAACTTTGATATTTCTATAAAGGGATAAAATAAGTTATTTTTTAAAACAAGTTCCATTTTTTATATATAAATATGAATGAGGTTCTGTTCTGATACATAACTGGC